CGGCTGGTGAAGAAGGGGCTGAGTGCATTGTTGCTGTAATGGCTCTCATTTGGGTTCTGGGAAGGCTTGGGTTTTGCCATGCCATCAACAGGTGCTGAGGTACCTCTGCTGGCTACTCTGGGACTTCAAAACACTTTCCCGGTGTGGTGGGCCGTGCTCTTTCAAACACTCAACAACCATTTAGCAGATTCACATGGGCTTAGACCTCACACTTACTTAAGAAGCGCTTACTGAGTTGTTAGTCAGTGTGCAAAGCTTGGCAGGACTCTCTCAGGCTTCAGGCAGCTGAGAGTTTACTCTCCGATGGATGCTCTTCTGCCCGGTCACACCTGCATAGAGCCAATGTTAACTTCCCTCATTTTAATACTTGCAGTTACTTAAGCATATCTTCTTCTTAACAGATTCTCACATCTGGATTGCCAAAAATTTGCACCTTACCCATCTCAAGCTCTGCAAATAATATAAAAAGTGATGCTGTAGGATTTTTTTTGTCTCTACTGTCAATCTACCTATTTCCTTTGAAAGCTACAAGAAATATTTTTATTGCTGCAGGCAAACTCCCTGGGAATGTGCAATTGATTATTCAAACCTCATGGTGCTGCTGCTGCAGAGATTTGTGTGGCTGTGGCTGACTTTGATTCCCTGATAGCCTGTCTCATGCTTCTGTCCCCTAATGCAGCTGATAGCATTAAGTCATGCACTTAATCAAGTGAAAGAAATTGCTTCTCCTTATCTAAAGACCTGATGACTTTATCTGATGGGGAGGGTCTCTTAACAGAATGAGACAAGGAGAAGTAGATGAGATAAGAAACATCCACAGGACTGTACGCAGTGGAGTAGGAGCACTTTTAAAGGCTTCAAATTTGGAATAGAAAAACATACTGAATAATCTATTGATAAAAGCAGTCCTCTGGCTGGTTCTTTCTTATTGCATTTTTCTCTATTAAGAAGCCAAAGATCAAGAATAAATTAAGTCCAGGTAATGATACACAAAATTGTTAATTTAAATGTGGAGAGTGAGCTCAGCTCATCAGCAAGCTGTTCAGGCGCTCGACTACAGCACGGAGCACAGTAACTCCATAGAGGAGGCAGCTGGCAAAGATGGGTGCAAAGTCCCATATTATCTATGCATGCATGGGTTTCCGCATATTATTTCCATCAGTGATAATGAGGAATTACAACATAATTTAATGTACAGGGCTGGGTACACCCAGGTAATGGCTATCCTGATAAAATTAACTTAATTATAGGAGACTCAGGAGGGACCATAATCAGAATAGTTTGGGTTGGAAGGGACCTCTGAAGGTCATCTAGTCCAACCCCCCTGCCGTGGGCAGGGACATCTTCAACTACATCAGGTTGCTCAGAGCCGCATCCAACCTGACCTGGAATGTTTCCAGGGATGGGGCATCCACCACCTCTCCGGGCAACCTGTGCCAGTGCTTCACCACCCTCAGCGGAAAACATTTCTTCCTTATATCTAGGCTAAATCTGCCCCCCTTTAGTTTAAAGCCATTCCCCCTTGTCCTGTCGCGATAGGCCCTGCTTAAAACGTTTGTCCCCTTCTTTCTTATAAGCCCCCTTTAAGTACTGAAAGGGCACAAATAATTCCTCCTCCTTTTCTTGCTACCCCATTATAACAATGATCTGTGCAAAATCAATTTGACTATGATATTATTCCTACTAAAATAAACTAAAACGATTTACAAGTATCCTTGCAGGATTTGCTGCAAGTAGACGCCTGAGCACTGCATGGCTTCCAGTGCTGTTGAGTTTAATTTGCACCCTCCCCATTACCTACCTACTTTGCTATGTGGAGCTATTCTCTCTGATATACGGTATTTTTGCATTACTGGAGAACGGCAAGAGGCTGAACGGGGCACAGTCCCTCCGAGGACTAGCGCACTAGAGTGCTCTTCTCATTCTTAGACTTTAAGAGATGGTCCCCTAAGAAGCCTTACATGGATGGTGTGCAAAACTGTGCCCGGTTCACATGGGACAGGCTCCAGTCTGATCTCTGCTATGATTACTACAGAAAGCAGGATGTGATAATGGTTAACGTTAGGATTAATAAAAAAAAACCCCAACAAAACACAAAAGGACATTGCAGCAGGCTTCGGCTGGAAATGTGACAGGTCCTTATGAAGAATTTCTCTGTGAGTTTGTAAATGCTGACTTTCTTTTTTCTTCTTGCAGTTTCTCACTCCATGTTCACGGTGCCTTTCTGTCCCCTGGTGATGAGCCAAGGCACAGGAAATCCAGCTAGCTGCTGTGTCCCACACGGTCCCTCCCCAGATCATTCCTCCCAGGCAGACTGGGAATCACCTTGATGCTGGGATTGTTACTGTTTTCCTTGTGGTTGGGGCCTTTTATACCCTTTCATTGCTAGTTCTGTTCAACTGCGAAAATGGTAAGACTCAAGCAATTGTACTGTTACTCTTTTTTTGGACTGCTCTCTTGCTCCTGGGCTGTTCCTCATTTATTTCTTTGGACTATATCCAACATTCAAGGTGAG